CTTTGCCTTGTCTCTGGGAAAAAAAAGTAATTGTACAATTAGGTTTGTGTATGCACCTGAGGCATATGGTGGTTTTTTTAGAGATAAATAAAAGCCCAAAAGGAGAAAGCTACAAAGATATCACTGTCTAATTTGGAAAAGGCAGGGAGCAGGAGCAGATCTAAAGAAGTTAGCAATTTCCTTGTACTATAAACACACTTTGCTAAACTTCAGTGATTTCCCCCCTAAGTTACTATTGCTCTTTTAAAGATGTATTTCACAGGGTGCATTTTCGTACCTGGTCTTTATAAGGCTGTTCTGCTGAGCTTGCTCATTTTCATACCTGCTATTTTGCTGCCTAGATAAGCTTGTTTGACTTTTGGGGTTTTTTAAAAACTTTATTCCAGTGTTCTAGGCAGGTTACATGCCTTTTGTTTCAGTTGTTTTGTGTTACAAAGGATGAGTTCTATCTAGAGTTCTCTTGTAGCTGGGTGGCTCTAGGGCCCCACCAGGGAAAGTGTGAAAACACAAGACTTTTGCTTATTATCCAGGATCTGACTGTGCTCTCGAATTTTGCAAAGGCAGAAGGAGGAGCTTCTACTTCAGTCCTTCTATAAAATTTTTTTGTCTTTTCCTACAGAAAGTCAAAGGAATAAATATTTGGGTTTGTGCTTAAGTAAATTTTTAGAAACTACCTGGGATGGATCTGATATAAAGCATGTTTAGATTAGAAAGGGATTTTTCCTGAAACAGCTGGTCAGGGCTCCAGGATTCACTTTCTCACAGGGTAAAGTGGTTGATTCTCTGCCTGGGTGCCTGCAGTGGGAGGCAGTTTCTGTTCCCTGCATCCTCATAACCTCCCTGTGCAAGGCACAAGGGCCAGTGGCAGGTAGGAGCGATTAGATGGAGCAGGCATGTGTTTCTCAGGAGCTGTTTTTAGCACCCTAAGTACAATTTCCTGGAAGATGTAGGCTAAGTAGGTGGCAAACAGGACTCAGCATAGTAAACAATGTTTAGTGTGAAGTGGAGCTGCAGCAGATGAGTACAGCACGCTGATCCCTAAAGGAATTTTGTACCCTAGAGCAAAGCCAGGGCATTAGAGAGCAGCAAACAGCATTTGGAGTGGTGAGTGGCAAACCCTGGTCACAGCTTGCTAGTTTAGCATTCCCAGCTGCATACACTCCCAGCTCATAGCCTGTGTTTCACCATTAATTTTAGGAAAAAAACACCTCAAAATTCAAACCCTTTATTCACCTTGGTGCTACTGAGAGGCTTGTCCCTAATTAATGTGATGGGACTTTCCCATCCCTCTACCACTCTCCGTATTACAAGTCCTTGGCAATATGAGAGACGTATCTATTACTTAGTCATGAGCTATCCAGACCAACTTGCTTTTGAAACCAGAGCCCCTGTACCCCAGGCATCCTGTATTTCTGATTTGCATATGGAAAAGGCAGTTAAAAAGCTGATGCCCCCATATTGCTTGCGAGTCAAGTAGCAAAAGTAAATGATTTATCAAGCAAAGGTTACAACACCTGTGCCTTTTTGTCAACATATACAGGGGATGCCAAGTCAAGTGTTGCTCCTAATAGCTCAAAGAGAAATTTAGATTCAAATAACCCCCAAGACAGGACAATTGTGCAGTGAGTGGAGTGGCAGAGTGATGGATGGTGCAAAACCAAACCAACTGATAAGTTTGGAAGCTGCTAAAACCAGGCAAAGCCAACAGCCCTTTGGGGGCTTTTGTTACCAAATCAGAACTACTGACTTAAAGCAGTTTATTTCCCCATCTCTTCTGTGATGGAGTGGTTGTCCTGTTACAACCTTTGTTGATAAAGGAAGATGACTTCTTAAATGAATACTGTATAAATTCTGTAAAATTCTTTTAAGGGATTGGATTTGACACAACATGACATAAATCAGAACATAGTACTAATGGAAATGTCTGCTGATAATTTTTCTAATACTGATTAAGAAAGGCATGTAGTGGGTTTGGAAACAGCCCAGGACAGAATGAGCCTTGCCCCAGCCCAGCCATGCTGTTGTACATTTGCCTGGGATTTTATTCCAATGTTCTGGGAATGGCCATGTATGGGAACTGTGACTCCTGCTCCGTGGAGCTGCCACATCCCTGTGCACAGACTCACTTCTGCAGCACTTGAAGACTAATGATGATGATGATGATGATGATGATGTGTAAATAGTGCTTATAGTCCAATGTTCCACCAAGAGAACATCAGAGCCACCAAAAATCTGAGCAAAATATTTTCATATGGGTTGTAGCTGGACCATAATTTTAAAAAAGCAGATGTTCAGATACAGCCTTAATTTTTACTTTATTACTCCAGCAGTAAAGAGTTGCTTAACCCTTATATTTAAGCTTGACTTCCAGAAGCTCAGAGTGTTCCCTCTTTCCTCTTGTCTCAGGGAACTGTTTCCCTGGTAGTTAGTGGTCCTTAGGACCTGTATCTTACCCTGACTCTACACGTACTGTAAAGATCCTGATGGAAAGGAGCCACCCCAGCTGCTTTTAATAACACAGTCCTATGTGTTATTACATTTCCAATTTGAAAATATTCTAAGTGGTCATTCTATACACTAATGCTCTGCAAAAAAGAGCACAAAAGCCTGTCTTTGTTTAGAGGAATGCTACGTAAATCCCAAATCATTTCAGTTAGCACTTTTGCCTCACTTCTCTGACTCAAAGCACAGTCAACTTCAGAGTTCTTTCATGAATAAGTAGTGAGCTTGCTGATAAATTATATATTTAGTATCAAGTGGGCTGTGGTGGTGTAATGATGTATAGAAGCAGGGAGATGCAGCTGGAGTCAGAGACTGGAAGTCAGTCTCCTTGCCCACTGCAGCATGTTAGACTTTAATTGAAAGCTGTGCTTGAGTATTGTTTTTCACTGTACAGCATTGTTATTCACTACACTGCATTACAGAGGAGCACTTAAAGTAACGCTAGAGCACTTTAAAATGATTTAAGTCATAAATAAGGAGGATAAAAGTTTATGGTCAACAAACTTATCTGGGAAACTTAGGCTGCAGGATGCAAGTAAGTTTGAAATATCTTTGGAGACTTAATACTGTTGTGTCTTACTACATAATCAATTTACCAACTAAGAGTTTTTCAAGTCTTCTGGAAAAGGTAAGTAGCATTCTCCAAAGGGTTTCAGGTTTCCTGAGCTATGAAGGAAAAGACCAAATGCTTAAGGACTTTAGCAGTACACCTTAACATTCCTGTTTCCTGATTTCAGCTCATTTCTGTGTATTCCAGTTATTTCCAAAACAACTGGAGAAATATGATAGAAATTGGAAGGTGCATGAAAACTTGCCACACCCATGAACCCAATAAAGCACAAGGCTGGAAAAGTGGGGTGCAGGCTGCGTTTTGTTAAGGCATGAAAAAACCCCCCAGAATCTGATGGGTTAAACCCCTCTCTGCATTGCTGCTGTACTTTCTGTGACCCTATTTAATGCAGAGAAGGTTTGAGATTCGATATAGTTTAACCTGTGCTGTGCACAGAGCTATAAACTAAAGCCCCTAACAAATTGTACACAAAGAGCAGACAGCAAAAAAACCACGTTGTGCTCACAGGCAGCTGCTTGCAGCCCTGTAAACTGAAAATCTTTGGGAATGAGTGACCTGTGTTTCAGTGACAGTGGAGGTGCTGAAGCCATCACAACGAGGAGTCTGTCTTCATGCACCTACTGTGGCATGTGACAGCCATTAATCTGCACACTAATTATTCAGAAGCCTATAAACCATTTGAAAGAACTTACAGGAGCCAAGGGTAGTAATGCCCAGTTTGCCAGTTATTTGAATTATTGCTTTTTAGTCACTGCAACCAGTTCAAAACAGAATCACAAATATTTTGTGGAGTTGACCTTTAAAAGAATTGCAATGTAGTCAAGCAATCACTTCAGACTATAAACTACAGTTGTCCTAAAGAACTAACTCTGCTCACTTTTTTATACCTTCCCCCTCATGATAACGTGATATTAAGCCCAGACTTAATTTTTTCAACATCTGGCTCAAATTAGCTGCTAACAAAACTGCCAACAACTATTTTCTTAATCGACCCTGGGAATTTGATACAACTTGGAAAAAGCACATTTAAATCTCGTCCTTCTCCTAAAGAAACACAAATGTTTACTTGAGCTTCTGATTTGACCATAGCAGGACCATGAATTCAGCTAACCCAGCTTTATAGGCCTGCCTCAACTGGACTTTTTTCTCTTTGTGTAAGGAAAACAGATGTGCTCACAATTACAAAAATCTCCTGCTCGCTCAAAGCCCACCATGCAAATGGCCAACCAGGAGTTTGAGTATTTTTTTTTTTGGAGCAGTCTCCCGTTGTGTCTGCTGGGGGACTACAGGGCACTGTTACCTGTTGGGTGTCTCTGAGCTCCTTTTGCATATCACAGACTGGTTTGGGTTGGGAGGGACATTAAAGATCATCTTGTTTCATGGGACACCTTCCACTATCCCAGGTGCCCCAAGCCTTGTCCAGTCTTTCCTTGGACACTCCCAAGAATGGGGCAGCCACAATTTCTCTGGGCAACCTGTAGCAGGGTCCCACCACCCTCACAGGGAAGGATTTCTCCCTACCATCTAATCTAAACACAGTTAAATGCAGTGCCTGGGGAGCAGGTTGGAGCCAAAGCCTTTGAAACCCCGACCCTACAGCAAACAACTGCGCGCTGGGAGCCAACACCTCAGAAAGCAAAGAGAGATCCTTCCAGTTACAAAAGCAGCGTTATCATCACACAAGCCCAAAAAAAAAAAACCAAAAAAAAAAAACAAAAAAAAAGAAAAAGAAAGGAAAAAAAAAACCACAAGAGACAAACAAACTGCAAGTGACATTTCACTGTAGTTACTGAGACCATGTGGGTGAAGTGACAGCGGCAGGGCAGCTGCTCCGCGGGGACACGTTAGAGGACACTGGAGGAGGAGGAGGAGGAGGAGGAGGAGGAGAAGAGGCTGCAGGCAAACAGAGAAGTCGAAAGCGGCCCACCTGAGTCTGTTGAGGGATATTTACAAAGCTTGGATCCCGTGGTCCAACACTGACGAATCGGTTTGCGGGGGAGGTGCTGGGTGTCGAGTAGGCTGTGAAGGGAAGGGACACATGCGTTGAGGAAGCGGCACTAGATTGCACACGAACAACACCAAAACACACTGTCTCAGAGCCACCTAAGCAGATGTTTGACATAGAAATGTGCGAACGTTTTAGAGAGCGAGAGTTTGGTTTGAGACGCTGGAAAGGCTTGGGCTTAATGGTGGGGGTGTCAACACGTAGGGGACTGGGCTGCTGGGAGAGGGGATGGCCACAACGTGGGCTTCAGGTTCTCCAGCCTGAAGGAGAACCACTGCAGGCCTTTCCATGATGGGCTGGCACAGGAGATTTCTGCAGGTCCTGGCTGTTTGTACTCAAATGTCTGGTATCTCTATTTTTAACAGAGTTTTGTATAGCAATGAAATTACCTAAGAGCTCATTAACAGAATCAGACCCTTTGTTTCATGCTAATCCAGCATTCTCTCTGGATATAAAGTTTTGGTTTTCATACTGCTGTGGTCTGCACTCTCTAAAATGTTCACTTGATGTGTCTGACAAACTAGGAAGATCCTTTCGGTAAAAAATTAATGGGTTGCAGTTTCACTGGGGTGGTAAGTGCAATCAGTCTAAAGGCTGAAGCTGCCTTTAAAAACTGGAGTGGCTCCCATAAATGTAAAGCTATTAAATGCAATGCAAGCCAAGAACCCAGATTACTTCCAAACTTGAAGTACTTTAATGATTTTATTGTTGCATTATATTCTCCACTGCAACTGTCCACAATGCCACGTACTTCCACATCCAAAAGCTTTCAATGCATTTTTAGTCTTCCTCTCATTTGAAAACCCTCAAGCAATCTTCTCTCTTCCTCAGTTTTTTGCATGTTTTGATCTAAATTCAAATAACGTAAATAGATGCCTTAATACAAAGAAAGCTCCTATCTATTTTGAATATATTTATGGGAATGCATTCTGCTGAATAAAATCCCCAGACAATCTAACTATCCAATGAAGAGACAAAAAAAAAACAATAGTAAAAGGAAAGTTACTTGCCAAATTCCAGTCAGGCTAAATATAATGTTGAGGCCTCAACGTTACAGAAAAGTAAAGTGAGTTAAGAGTCAGAGAAGACACTGAGCTGGCTGTGTGGAGGAAACTTTTACCTTTCTGAAGGCAAATGCTTGGTGAAGAGGGATTACACTGGAGGAGCCTTTGCTTTAAGACTGTGCCAAATCAGACCAATGCTCCACCTTGGCCACTGCCACCTCTCTTAGAAGCCATAAGCAGATGCAAACAAAACAGGTTCACATATTTACTTTCTCCCATTCTTTCCCACCTCTGATTATTTTCAGCTCAAGGGACTTCCTGTATTTAAGGCCCTGGAGGGATTTCTCACCCAATGCCCAGTCTGCACTTGGACCCATGTGGATGTTCTGCATCCCACAAAGCCCTTGGGTGATGAGTTCCTAAGTGTAGGAGCATGCAGAACCACATCCTTCAAGTCTCACAAACGTCTTGTGATGCCTCCTACTTCTTACAGTGTAATCAGAAAACCTCCCTTCCTCAAGATTCCCTGAACTCACCCCAGGAACTGCATATCTTCATTTCCTACTGATATGAGGGGAGACAAGGCACTCCTGAATTCTAAGAAGGAATTTTTCCCACTTGTTTCTGGTGAGGTGAGCTTTTCTCTCCAAGAAGCTAACACTTGCAAAAATCATGCAAGGAACACTTTTCCTTCACAAAGTCTTAAAGGAATTTTTAAGTCACTAATGTATCTTCCTGAGATGGTTTTGCAAATTGTGGTGCAGCTTGAATATTATGAACAGATAAGCTGGATGTTACTCCTACCTGCAAATCAAGGAAGAAATTAACTGAGTAGATCTGGTGAGATGTTCTCCTCACCTTTTTACCATGTTAGTTTGGTTAATAATTCAAAGAAGCCACACATTTGCAAAGAGCATTTCCCTGTTGTTAGTGCCTTGTATTAAGATTCTTCTGTGCTGTTCTTTGTGGAAGTTTTGGTTTTTTTTTAGCTGACTAATGAACTAATGTGCAAGACTAAGAATTCTTTCTGCAGTGGGGAAAATCAACTTACAGCTCAAAAATCAAACATCTGTTGTTTGGTTCTCCTGGTCTACTTTTAAGGAAGCAGATTGAGTGGAGAGGCCATTTAATCCCTTGGAGCAGGTAAGTTCCACCCAGAAGGGAAGGAACTCAAGATCTTGTTTACAGTTCCCCGCTGGCAGATACTTTTGCTGTGATATTTGGTAGAAAATCAAAGGGGAACCAGCAGAATGCTGACTTAAATGGCTTCTCTGTTCAAACAAAAAAATTTGAAAGCATTTGAAAAGTGTGTAATATGCACAAAAGTCCCCTCAAATCTTGCTGGGTGAGTTGCTATGTATACCTTCCTTCCGCTCCAAACGATGTTTAATTTGCTTTCTGAAAATACTCGGATGTCAGCTTGGTATTTCCTTCAGGTCATATAACTGCATTGCTGAAGCCAAGGGGGGAAGAGCACCAAAACGACAAATATGCAGAGGATTTACACTGGACTCTCCCAAGGTGCTGTTCCCTCTTTGCTGTAAAATGTCCTGGGATGTTTGTGGATTGTAAGGGGCCATTTTGGCTTGGAATATTGAGCTGATGTGGAATACACATCCCCCTGTTAGGGGGGAATTTGTTTCAGGAAAGGGAGAAGTTCTGAGTGTTGCTTAGACTATGGTCAACTTCCAGCTGCATCTTACTGTCTTCAGATAAATACCCTTGGCTGACATGGAGGTGGGATTCCTGGAAGTCTGATCCCTAGGCTTTGCCCCAGAATTAGGATGGGGAAAACTGTCTCACTGGATAAAGCTGTGTCACATTATATTATAGCATAAATATAAGCTAAGCCTATGCTGGGGTCCTCACACTCCAGTTTAGGAAAAGCCAGAGCATGGAAAGGGACAAGGAACAGCAGCCAGGTCGCTTAGGCAGATCTTCTCCAGATTTTATCAGCTTTGCTCCATGGGAATTGCATAGACCTACATGAGTTCACACCAGATGATGGCTGTCCTGTTGGGCATGAATAGAAACAGCTTCCTGCCCAGCCTGCTCTTTCTGCTACTGGAATTCACCAAGGATTGTCTGCAACATCATAGCCCACAGCCAAGGAAATGAATGTGATGCCACAAATTTGCTATGATGCTTCACTTCAGGAACAAGCAAAACAGGAGCTGGCAGAGAAAGAACATTTGCTCACACAGACAGCTTTGATATTTAGCCAAAATGGCAAGAAATTGTATGAAAGACAAGACAAACAAACAGTTTTGAGGATGTTGTGTGTTTTAAAGTTGCCTGTAGTAGGGAAATGTTACTTTAAAATATACTTTCCTGAAATAACTGCTGTTAAGAGCAGGAGTGTGTAATTTATCGTTGTTCTGGATTAAAAGGATTAGTAAAGATGATTTTGGAGGGTAATGACCTAATGTACCACCAGGTCTCCCTTTTACAGACCAAGGTGGCAGGTACATGTGTTTGATGTGAAGAGTTGTCCTGTTTCTCAAGCTGCAGCAAGAGGATTAACTGGAGGAATATGGTGCAGTAGAACAATTCTTACTGCAGTGCATTCTGCAGCTGAGTATATGGGAGGGAACTGCAAATTTTAGCAAATTGAATGATAGAGTCAAACCTCATTTTTGTGGATGGGGAAGGGAGTGAACAGAAAGCTCAGACTTGCCCAGAACGTGCTCAGTCAATGCATAGCAGAGGAAGGGAGAGAAAGCCAATCTGATTGCAGGATCGTGGAAATGTTTAGGTTGGAGAAGACCTTTAAGATCATTGAGTCCAACCCCTACCCCAGCACTGCCAAGGCCACCACTGGTTCATGTCCCCAAGTGCCACATCCACAGGGCTTTTAAATCCTTCCAGGGTTGGGGACTCCACCACTGCCCCTGCTCCAGTGCTTGACCACTGTTTCTGTGAAGAAATTTTTCCCAATATCCAATCTAAACCTCCCCTGGGGTGACCTGAGACCATTTCCTTTTGTCCTGTCCCTGTTCCCTAGGAGCAGAGCACTACTACCCCCCAGCTGTCCCCTCCTGTCAGGGAGTTGTGCAGAGCCACATGGTCCCCCCTGAGCCTCCTTTTCTCCAGCTGAGCCCTTTTCCCAGCTCCCTCAGCCCCTCCAGACCCTTCTTCAGATCCATTCCTGTCCCTGGACACTCTCCAGCACTTCAATGTTTTCCTCCTGGATTCAAGGTGTGGCCTCACCAGTGCCCAGCACAGGGGACAGTCACAGCCTGGGTCCTGTGGCCACACCAGAGCTGATGCAGGCCAGGTGCCTTTGGCCTTCTTGGCCACCTGGGCTCATGTTCAGCTGCTGCTGACCAGTATCCTCAAGTCATTTTCCAGCTTTCCAGCCACTCTGTCCCAAGCCTGGAGAGTTCCACGGGATGTGACCCAAGGGCAGCACCTGGCACGTGGCTTTATGAATCCTGTACTACAGACACAAGATCATTCTCCTCATCCTGACACAAAAGCCATTTAACAAGAAAACTCTGTTCAAAGGGACATTAACCAGTAATGAGTTTGTTTAAGTTAAGAGTTGTGAATCTCAGAAAATAACACTTTGTTTTCAAATGCTGTTTAAAAGTCAGGGTGTACAGGATGGCAGTACCTTAGGCTCTGCTTTGGAATGATTTAATTATGATAGTGATAAAGCCCAACTGGAATGTAGTGGAGGTGGTGATTGCTTTGGGCAGTGAGATATTAAACCCCAAAACTGCCAAGTTCAAGAAAATATTGTGTTGTGTTTGTAATGGTTTACCAACCAAAGAAAATCAAGAAGAGATCTGAGATAAGATAATGTTGGGTCTGCTTCTGATATCAAAGATATGTTCTATTGAAAAAGGTTTTGTGGAGGAAAAATGAACCTCTGAAACCTCGTGAATCCCATCTCCATTGTGCCATCTGACTGAGGAAAATGCTGGCTTTCCAAAGGGGTAAGATTTGCAGCTGAAATTGTCAGCTCCCAGAGCATTCCTGGCCACCCAGTAGCAGCAAATCCCCAGTGTGCATCTCCAGGGGCTCTTCCTTCCTTGGACAGCACTAATGTTCATGTTTTGGTTAATGTCACAGCTGGAGAGTTTCACTATTGCTCTGAGAATCATTAACCACCTTGTTGTGATTTTTAGCTCTCACTCCCAGGAGGCCATGCTGTATTGAACAGCTGCTCCTGGCTCCTGCACCCCTCAGGAGGGCCATATTCCAATTTTTGGTTGGGCCGTGACTGCATTTTGTTTCTGCTGAGGGCTTTCTGCTAGACCAAAAAAGGGAAGGAGAATGGAGCAAATGCAAACCCCTTTCACTCCATTTCCTTGGGAGGAGGGGGGTTCATTCTCTTCCACACAGCTAAGGAGAGAGTCTGGCCAAAATTTAACATCTCTCCTGCCTTTGTTGCAGAAGTGACTTTCCAATATCCTCAAGCTCTGCGGGGCAGCCAGCCATAGCCCGGCGACACTCCCAGAACCGGTGCGCTCCAGCAGCTCGTAACCATGGAAAACACCTTTTTGTGAGGCTTTTATGGAACTCTGGTGAATCTGCACTCGCTATTTGAGGGCTAATATTTAGTTAAGGAAAAAATAAACGGAGGGAAATGGAGGGTTGGTCCTGATTGACACACTGAATGGAGCCCAGTGGGTCCTCCTGGCAAACCCTGGCTGCGACGTCTCAAACTTCAGTTTGCTTTCCTCTTTATGTGGCCAATGCTTCCACTGGTTTTGGCTTGTATGATATAGTTTTTCTTAGAAAATATTTCCTATAATCTACTTTTCTGTAAAATTTGTCCCTAAATTAAATTATATGCTTCTTTACAACTCGAGTCACTGTTATTCAAACCCCTCACCAAAAGGAAGATGCGTGCCTGAATATGTACAGAACTATATGTTTAGACATCAGCGTGGCTAATTAACAAACAGTAATTATTTTCCTAATCTTTTGTTTAAATACCATTAACTGTCTGCTCTTGAGAAAACCTCCATTCCCAATTAACATGGCAGCTGTCTGCTGAGCACAGAGCCCAGTGACCAGCCCCAGGCTGACACCAATGGGTGTCCTGCTCCCTACAGAGGAGAAATGCCCATTTTTCTGCCAGCTGAGAATCCGGCCAGACACACTCTGAGCTTGTTTACACGATCACAGTATCATAAAAATTAAGATTAGTGCTAAAATGTTGTTGAAAATCTTTTCTTTTCAACACCAGACGCTGCCAGTAAACTGAGTCACAACCGTAATGACAAGTACACACTGACCTAGTTTTGTTTTTCCCAGTTCTGAAGGCAAGGAAATAGTAAGGCATTGCTGACTGTGTTCAGTGATAACTATGACTAAACATTAACCTTTTAGATCCCACCGCTGAATCTTATTGATAGGACTCAAAAGTCCCCTTGGAAAGCGTCAAAACTTCCTGATAGCACCAGCGTTGGTCTAAGGTCAGAAAGAGGAGCGGAGGGGAGCGAATGAATCAACTTCTTCAGTCAACAAAAATCTGCTGATCAATTCGAGAAGTCCTGATTCTACAAGATCGTGTTCACAATCTTACCAGACTGTCTCATACTAAAACCCATTTCCATTTCCAAGCGAGCCAGAGCATCTTGCTGAGTTTGCAGTTGATGCACTATCGTGTAGCAGAAGGCAATGAAAACCTCTGAGGAACTACCAGATTTTAAAAATGCCCCTGGAACCTGTGCAAGTCTCCTGAACAGTATATAAAGCTTTAAAAACATAGGCTTCACTTGGTCTGAAGAGTGAGTACCTCTTTGCACATCAAGTAGTGGTTGCATATAGCATTTAAATAATAAGCTTGAAAAGCACACAAAGGGATTTGCTCTTTCGATTAGATTGATTTTTGTTTGTGGATGTTATTTGGACTCCCTTCACTGTGGAACAAGTCCCCTACAGTTGCCATTAAAGCACTGAAAGCTTCCCTTTTGTTTTTAAATGTCAGTTTGAGCATAGCTTCATTAAATCATTTCACAATTAACTCCCTGAACATCCAGACTTTTTTTAAAGCATCAGACACAGCTGAATTGCATTTGTTTCCCAGAAGAGTGACTCCAAAGTGGTATCCCCAAGTGTGTATCCAGGAATTCGTAAATTCAACTTGTGGCTGCACAAAATGCATATGGGAGCCGTGTGGGTGGTGGGAGAGGATTAGAGCTTTCTCCCTAGCACTAAGACATACCAAAAGTTGTCTAACACGCATGGAAAGATGTCTGGCTTAATTTAGGAAGATTTAGTCCCAAAAGAACGACAATTGAAGTAAAGTGGGAAGGGTTGTTAGTTTAGCCCAGTGTGCATAAGCAGGGATGCTTTCCAGGACATTGCCTGACTTCCATGTGGGGTCTATCCTTTAAAGCCTGACTTGAGATACCAGCTTATCACAGAACCGTGGAATGGTTTGGGTTGGAAGGGACCTTAAAGATCCCCCAGTTCCAACCCCTCTGCCACACTTCCCACTAGGTCAGGTTGCTCAGAGGCCCATCCAGCCTGGCCTTGAGCACTTCCAGGGATGGGATATCAACATGAATCCTCATGGCAGCAAACAAGATCCCAAAGATCCGAGCTCTGTATCACAGCTGAGCCACCGGCCTCGATTTCCCTCACACGTGGTTGTGTGAAATGCCAACCGAGCCAAAAATAAAACTGCAACCTTGAGCTAAGGCTTTCCCTGCTGACACAGGAGCAGCTCAGAGTTTTGTCCCTCGTGGAGAGCAGAGAGCTCTCCTGCTTCCCAAGTTGTGTGCAGTCCTTTTCCCTGCACAGCCGAGCGCCGTAGCCCTTGGGTCCCGCTGTGTCTGTACTTACTTGGAGAAGTGGGAGAGGTGGCCCCTCCTTCTGTTGATGTGGTTGGAGGTTTTGTGTCTGGCACTGGCAGAGGCACAGGCCTAGCCATTGGTGGCGGAGGTGGTGGTGGCAACATTGGGGTAGGAAGGAATGGATTGTGCACCTTGCCTTGGCTGCTACCATTGGGCTGCCGAAAAACAAGCAAACAGACAGAAATTATACTAAAAATCAGCTTCTAGGAACCTCCAGTAAAAACAATCTAGTTAAAAACTATGTGCAATACATTTACAATTACTTGAAAGGTGGCAAAGAAAGTGCTGGCTCAAATTCTCCATGGACTTCAAGGAACTTTGTGTCAAACTCTGTGAACCTTGTGAAGCTATGGAAAATCTGGCTTTTAAACACTTGTCCTATTAACAGCTTGTCTGAACTGAGGTTAAACTGTCCTGGAATAAATTCTACTCTTCTTTACATTTCCTGCAGCACTAACCCATGCTCAATGAGAGGTGAAGCAGTATTTTTGACCCTTAAAATCCTCCAGTTTCTTGCCTCTGTTATACCCTCAGGATATCAGTGTCTAGGACTTGAGTGTAAATTTCTTAAAGATACTGCTCATTAAGAGAAAAAACAAGCGTTTTTGGTGGTCTTAAAAATCATGCTGATATCTCATTACAGGAAAATGAATGAGTGTATATTAAAATAACTGCTCTCCCACATCCCTTTTGAGTTAGCAATAGTGTAGCTCTTGGTTTAGCTGCCATTAGGATCATATGGAGAAATGACTGAACTTAGAACAGCTTCATTTTACACACTGGGAGAAAAAACCCACCCTCCCTTCAGTCTGGGATGTGGTCAGTCACAGGCTGAAGGGGATCAGCTATATGAGTGTGGTCTTTCAATTAATCACCAGAAAAATGTGTCCATAAGTAAAAGTGTTTTCAAGTATCACAAAAACAGGAACCAGGCTTAGAAAAACATGCCAACCCTCCCCCCAGCTTATTAAGTTTACATTTTAAATGTAACCCAGCCTGGACACTTGAAAACCATACAGATAGATGCCAAATACCATTATAAAGAGAAAGTAGGACAGGCTGTGAATCAGGTGTTCCATTTTAGTGACAAAAATGATGAGATCATTTTCGACAGCACTCTACAAATTGATCTCACTGCAGCTCTTCTGGCACTGAACATTGGCTTTTCCATTGATGATAAAAGCTCAGCTTTAAGCACAGATCCATATTCTAAGTACTGCTAAAGAAAATAATATTTTAATTCCTGCTAGGGTTTCCATTAGCCTGAATTGCCGGGGACAAAATACTCATCCTGGCAAAACACTTGGGACTTTATTTTCATTTCACCTGCTTTGGCACTGACAAAAGGCCTTAAAGTCGTGGAGGTGCAAATCACACTTGTGCTAGAGCAAAAATGGTTCAGGGGATAAATAAGACTCAGGTTCATCTGCATTTAACTTAACAGCACTCCCACAGACTTCAAAGACTGCAGTTACTAGAGTTTGCAGCAAGAAGCAATCCTTCAGGGATATTTATTTTTCCAACATCCAGCACCTTTAATAAACTAATATATTAGTGACATCTCTCAAACACTATCTTGTCTCCCAATTAGGTCCCTTTCCTGCCAAGAAGACCCCTGCTGCCTGTTCATTGTGAGTGTGCTAACAGTTCATAATGCTGAATGGTTTGGGATAAATTAAGCAAATGAATACTCAAGGAAAAAGAAAAGCACTGTATTGATTTGTTGTCTAGACATAAATGTATCTGCTAACATATTGCAGACATTATTCAAAGCCAGGACTGGCTGGAATGAGTAGAGTCAGTTTTTCTGCTGGGGAAAGGAAAACACGGAGAACAATACAGCTTATTAAATAAGTGTAATAAATTAGATGCTAATAATTAAACTAATTCTCATTAACACTTTCAGTATGTCAGGAGAGAAGCAGTAATTTTGCCAGTTATTACTTCATTGGCTGGAAAAAGTTACATGCATTACATTTCATGAAATATTCAGAGCATTATTTTAGATTTGATTTACATAAAATTTATAAATTCTGCATTCGTCCAGAATGCTATTTCAATAATAGCAAGATGATTCACTTTATTTGATTAAAAAAAAAAGAAAATGGTTATTTGAAGCTTTGGAACTCTGCTTAATTTTTCATAGAGATAAGGGGAAAAGATAACTGCTTACAGAAATAACAAACCATAATAAACTGTACTTTTAACATCTTGAGTTCAAGTACTGGTCAACTTGATCTAAAGTGCTATAAGGCAGTATTTTTTTTTTTTAATGAACTTAGCTGATCTGAAACATCTGTTTCTCACCCTCCCTTTTCCTGCTCTTTCCCCCCCACTCTCCCCTGAACTTCAAAAATAATTAATAAAAATTATTCTGCCTTCGTATTTTGTTAACCCTGGTTCCACAAGGGTTACAGCACATGCAGCAAAGTCGTTTGTGGGGGGACCCAGCAGGTCACTGAAGCACCAGCTTCTCTGACACTTTAAGCTACTTTCACCACAATGTGGTCAAGTGGTTTTTTGGGGAGGTCTCTTGTCGTTTTTAAAATACTTTTGCAGCACAGTATCATTATTATTATTATTATTATTATTATTATTATTATTAATAATAATAATAATAATATTATTGTTAGTTACTTTTTTTTTTTGGTTCTCCCTTCCAGCAACTATTCAAGGTGTGCTCCTGCAGGCGACATGCTGTTAAAATAACCCCATCAATAACCCCGTGGTTAATTTTTACAAAGGACAAACACTTCTGAAGAAAGAAAAACGGCTTCCTTACATTTAGGAACCCCACCTGTCCAGCCTGCTGACCAGCGTCGGGGCAGACAAGTTGGACAAACTCTTTCAGAGTCTCCTGAGGATGATAGCGGATTGCTGGGTGTGAGAAGTATGGCCCAGGCTGTTGAATAATGGGTGATGTTGGAAAATGAAGAGTCGATGGTGTTGCATGTGGACTTGCTATAGGAAAGAAAACAAAGACGTTATATAGAGTTTTGCCTCTGGAAAAATAAAACAGTTTAAATCTGTTGTAGTTTTAAGTATCTTTTGTTGTTGTTGTTGTTGTTGCTGTTGTTGGTTTGTTTTTAAATGTACAGTATTGTTTATACATCAATTAATATATTAGACCACATTGTGTCCTACACTCACTTCATCTAGATCCTGGAAGCAAATGGAGCCAGACATTGTGAAGGATTTTCTGTGTTTTTAGTGGACACGTAGAAAGGAATCAGCAGTCCTTTGTGAGAGTGAAAACTATTCATCACCTTAAGAGCAGCCCTCATCAATCAGGCAATAAAAAAATGTATTTGGGAGATTAGGGTTGATTTAATTGACATTTCATGTAACTTGGATTTGCACATACGAATCCATTTCACATTGTAGTATAAACGGTCAATAATTTTAAAATGGTCCAACAATTCTTGTTGTTGGGTTTTGTTTTTTTTTTTTCCATCTCACTTCAGGAACATTTATTTTAAGTAACGTGTTTTCATTTAATGAACATGCACAAAGTGGCGAGCTCGTTTGGAAAATTACATTTACATTTCTCCTGAATAACGCTGGGCTCGAATCTTCAGCAAGCCCCCAGCTCTCTCTCAGGGATGAAGTTTAATTTGGTGAATTTATGGGCCAACAAGCCAGCTGGAAAATGTACTCCAGAGAAGGTGCAGAGGTGTGATGTACACAAGCCCATTGGCAATGACCGATTTTACCCTCAGCTGATTTCAGCACAACTACAAGTGCAGCTCCAGAGCCTTTTGCTCTCCTACATTATGTGACACCTTTGCCCAGCTCCTTGGCCTCCAAAATATATTGGGTTGGACTCTTGTTACCCAACAGTGCTTTCCATTGTTAGCTGTCACCACGAGGTAGCTGCTGCCACTTACAGTGCCATGAATTCTCCCTTTAAAAATGAGGATTCACTCTTCCTTCAGAATGACCAATTAATCTGGTTGCACACAAGCTCATCTGTAAATCATTGTTTATTTCTCACCAAACAGTCATTGTTGCTCCCTTGGCATGTTACCCCAGGAGTCTTTCAGGGGTGTCCATGTGCAGAGATTGTGCTCATACACTGCATATGACCAATTAGATAAAGGCAATGCAAGGGAGGGAAAATCCTGCAGAAACTCAGGTGTTGGCTTGGAAGTAATTTAAATATACAAGAGGAAAAAAAAAAGCCTTTGGCACGTTTGAAAAAATTGGAAAGATGCAGGAAAGTTAACTAAAATCAAACACAAATGAGCAAACATTCATTTCATGATGAATGTTATGAAAAACCTTCAGTTAAATAAAAGCTAAAATCAGCTTCTTACTCTTGTTCATTGCCAGTTTAATAATATGACACTTTATTAATAATTTTTTTCCTTAAGCATTATTAAACCATTAGCAAACTCAAGAGCCTGAAGATGTGGATAAAACGTGAACTCAGAAACAGCAGCAAGGAAACTACTGCATTTTCCTGTAAACATTCATTAAGGGTTGGCTGGCCAGCCCTTCTATACATGTCCTTTTCCACCACCGAATGGGAATTATTGCTCTGACACCACCACCAAAAAGAGCTGCACTCATGCCAGGGGTGCTGGTATGGGATGGATGTGAAACCCTTGTCCTTGCCATGAAAAGCTCCCCCTGTATCCACGTTAACCTCACAATTCTGCTCCCCTTAATCCTGTTGAAAATATTCCAAATAGAAAGAGAAACATCACAGGTAGAGATAATGGGGGATTCCCTTCAGTGACTGTGAGTGACCACCATGGAGCCAATTATTACAATGGACAGAGAACTAAACATTGTCCAAGGAGCCACCTCACCCCAAAATAATCCCCTGCCTTGGACTGGTGCTGCTCTGAGCTCCATTCTACACACACACCTTCAGTCAGGTAGATTCCAGCCAGCATTTTGATGTCTACAACAAAATTTTTATTAGCCTTCAGTGTTTCTGTCTTCCTCCCTTCCTTCATATATGCTTTTGTAGTTCCCCCTTTCCTTGTGTGCCAGATGGAATATGAAGGATGAAGATAAAAGTGAGAAATGGACATTTATGTGACAAACATCCAATTAAGTAAGAAATAAATTGGAATTTATGAAATATAAAAAGAAAATTTCCTTTTAGTATCAGCTCTTTTAATACTATTCGAAATTGTTATGCAATTGCA